TACACTGGCTGCCAATTGAAGTCTGGTCCAATTTAAGGTGCTGGTAATGACCTGTAAAACCCTAAACAGCTTGAGTCCTGGACACCTGGAGGAGCACCCTCTTCCCTATGTGCCTGCCCACCCCTTGAGATCTGAGGCAGAGGTCCTTCTCCAGGAGCCCTCTTTACAGAAAATTAGGAGGGTAGCTACCTGGAGAAGGGCCTTTTTGTTGGTGATGCCCCGACCTTGGAACACGCTCCCCAGGGAGGTTTGCCTGGCGTCGTTGCTTTATTCTTTTTGGTGTCAGGCGAAGACCATTTTATTTTCCCAATATTTTAACAGTTAATTGGTTTTATCTTTGATTTTATCATTAGTGGTCGGATGCAGTGTGTTGTGTATTGTATGTGGTTGGTTTTTTGTTTGTTTCCTTGTTTGCTTGTTTTTTTGTAAGCCATTCAGAGACTTTAGTATTGGATGGCATATAAAAACTTTAAATAAATAAATATCTGAAAGCAATCTGTGCCCCAAGCATGAGAGTCAGAGTCAACCAAGACAATAAGGGTTATACCTATGCACTGTGCATAGTACATCTATCTGTGTAGTTCCCATCTGTGCTTTTATACATTTAAATCTTACCAGGACAAAGGTTTATCAGAGTAGAATAAATAGTCCAGCAAATAACGCATGGCTGGACACAGTGGGATTATAACACTTTGCTCAGATACCATTGCTATAATTTTAACAGCAACTTGATGTACAGATATTGTGGATTGTGGTGATAATGTTTATTTCCAAACTGTGAAAAGCTTCAATTGCACATCTATAAAAGCATTCAAATGTTGTTAAAGATACAAGGGCAGGACAGGTTCTTTTTCTGAGCAGTAATAGCTTATTGTGCCCATGTACTACCAGGAGTGACTGCCTGCACAAGGTTTTAGAGATCCTAAAAACAACCAGACAATGGGCAGAAATGCTAGTTTCCTGAATGGGTCAAGCCAGGGGAGCTCAGGGACTTGTCCTGCCTGATCCAGAAACAAGTTTCCCAAAGTTGATTTAAAACCAGAAATTCCCTGTTGTATATTTAATGTACATTCACTTCCACTTGCCTAACACAATCAGTGGGAGCCCAGTACCCTCAATGGATACTGCCCTATAGGATGGGGCTAGAGCATGGGTCCTCAAACTACAGCCCGCCATGGTCATTTACCTGGCCCACCTCAGAGCTTTTGGACACGTTCGGAGAAAATGATCTCTGAGCAAGTCCGAAAGCAATGAGCTGGTGTATGTGCTCTCTGAAACTCTTTTCAGTTTCGGAGACTAGCAGAGAGTTGGCGCACACACCAAATTGTAACAGCTCCCTTCAACTGCTCGTGCGCCAGCTCTTCCCCCCATTGCACGCATGCATTGGCTCTGAATACAGAGCGGGAATACAGAGCAGGAATACAGAAGAGAGGAAGGTGGAAGAGAGAGAGATAGATGAAAACACTAAACAAGGATAAAAGGTAAAGGTTTCCCCTGACGTGAAGTCCAGTCATGCCTGACTCTAGGGGGCGGTGCTCATCTCCATTTCCTAGCCGAGCCAGCGTTTGTCCGCAGACAGTCTCCGTGGTCATGTGGCCAGCATGACTAAACACCGAAGTGCACGGAACGCTGTTACCTGCCCACTGAAGTGGTACCTTTTTATCTACTTGCATTTGCATGCTTTTGAACTGCAAGGTTGGCAGGAGCTGGGACGGAGCAACAGGAACTTGCCCCATTGTGCAGATTCGAACCGGCGACCTTTAGATCAACCAGTCCATCAGCACAGCGGTTTAAACCATTGTGCCACTTGCAGACCCAAACAAGGATAGAAGGTAAGAAAAATATAACTTTTAAAATCTATTTTTAACTATGCGAGCCACGTCCCTGGGCTGCAGGCCAAGCTGCGGCTGCCTCGCTGAGTCCAGGGGTGGACAGGCTGAGGTGGAGTGGGGCTGCGGCTCTGCCGCGGCCTTCTCTGGGCAAGCCATCACTGCTGTCGAGCGGCTGCCATGCTTCTTCCCCTTGTGGTGGGGAGAGACAGGAAGCGCCCCGCTTGGCCAGCCATGGCCCTGTCCCGTGCCTCCCCTTGCCTCGGAAAGCAGCCCTTACCTCCCTCATCGCAGCTCTCTCCTGGCCAGGAGAGCCGTGCTTGCCTTTCTGGCCTCCCCCTCCCCGAGCTGGGTGAGCGCCTGCGAGGGGGCCTTCGTCCGGCTCAGAAGTTGGGTGGTGGCGAGGAGCTGGGAAGGCCTCGACCTCATGGCTCCCCCTCGTGTTGTGGTCTCCCTTTTGGCGGGCGGCACAGTGTCATCTTGGGCTTCTGCTGCAGCCCAAGCGAGCAGAACAAACATTTTTTATTTTTTAATTAATTTTTGAATTCTAATTAATTTTTAAATGTATTTTAATTAATTTTAATGTGCAGTGTGCATAGGAATTCATTCATATCTTTTTCAAAATATAGTCCAGTCCCTCAACAGTCTGAGGGACAATAAACTGGCCCTGTTTAAAAAGTTTGAGGACACCTGGGCTAGAGAGTGGCCTGGCCAGAATTAGAATTTTTCAACACAAACGTTATACACTATACAAAATGGGAAAACATTTATCAACCCTTGAACTTTAGTTGAAGAGATCAGACTGAAGGTTGTATATATTCAAATTACGGGCTTTGTCACTGGAATACAGCACAGTGGTCTTAAGATAAACTCTGGGAGCTAGCAAGGAATCCATTACTCTGGGCTTAATGGCTCTCACATTTTTGGCTTCAGAATTCTCCGTTCTTTTAAAGATTTATTACTGTCCAGGAAGAACCATTGGTTCAGGGTCCCTGATGCAGAAACAGCCTCTCATTATGTATACAAGCGTTCCATACAGTCCCAAAATCAACAAAAGGTGGCAACCTTATAAATTTCCTGCAAGGCCTGCATAGTGCAATCTGATATTCCATTCAGGAATTACTAGGATTTGTATGTGTGAGACTTTGTTGCCACAGTGCCACCTACTGGCAGTCCTAATGCTCTTTGAGGAAGCAATCTGCACTTCATAATGCAGAGTTTTCCTGTCTTCTCAAACCATAGAAACTGAAGGGAAGGAAGACCTGAATGTCTAGCATTCTTCTTGATATATTTCAGGTCCCCAGCTGTTAACACTGGAGGCTACTGCTAATTTTAAACTCATTATGCACTTCCTCAATTGTTGCACAGATATACTTGATTCCTAGACTTATGAGACAACCAGGATAAATACAAATAATCACTATGGAATATGCTTGACGAGTACACAAACCAAAGATAGCAAAAACAGGCCTTCTATATGTGACATATTTGCTGTATATTACTTCCAGAATCAGAGGCACTATGCCTTTGACCACTAGCTGCTGGGGAACACCTGCTTGTGGACTTCCCACAGGTGACTGGCTAGCTGCTGAATTCTGCCCTAGAAAGACCTTCAGTCAGCATGGCTTTTCTTACCTTCTTACACTATAGCTACCTTTGCTAGGATTAGCAGGTACAATATTGGACAGGGTTTAAGTACTTGAGGGAGGAAATGATACTCTGTTAATTCTCCAAGAGCTCTCAGTGAAGCTCCATGGCCTACAATGGGATCCTTCTGGATAGACTGGCCAGGGTTGGGGGCACCACACTGAAGTAGTTCTGCTGCCCCCTAGTGGGTCAATTTCAGAAAGTGTTGTGTGGACTCAGCCCTATGGCTTATGCTGTGCCACAGCAGCTGTTCTACCTTGTCCCCATTGCTGTTTAATGTTAACTGCTTCTGAAAGGAATCTGAATGAGGGGGCATCAGTAGACCAAAGACACCCAGTTCCATTTCTCTTTTCTCTCCAATTCTGGTGAGGTTATAAACATATAAACTACATTGGTGCCTGTGATAGACTGGATGAGGGCTGATAAATTCAGTTGAGACAAGATGGAGGCGCTGTTGGTGATGGACTCGCTGGACCTGAGTGGTGGTATTCAGCCCGTTCTAAATGGGATTACATAGGTGTGGAAAACAACTAATCCTAGCAAGCCCTACGGCATGCAGCCCTTTCCAATGGCTGAGGCCAATGAACAGACTCCACCCTTCTTAGGAAGCGATGGCCTAGCAAAAGTTACCCACGTCAGCATAACATTCATGTTATATTATTGCAATATGCTATATGTAGCAGAAGCACTTCCTCTGAAGACTCGGCAGAAACACCAGTTTGCGCAGAATGACTTTAAACTAGTAAGGGAGACTGGATTTAGGAAATATACTTCACCAATACCTAAACAGCTATATTGGTCATTGGTCCATTTCTGGACACAATTCAGGTGTTGGTATGCAACTTACAAGTCCTAAATGGCTTGCAGCCTGCTTATGTGAAAGACCTCCTCCTCCCTCACACTTCTGCTTGTACACTGAAACCATCAGGTTCCTCTCTGGCCCAGAGGAACAAAGAACAAAGAGCCATAGAGCCCAATTTATGGAATATTTTCTCTGGGGAGGTCCTCTTGCAGCTACCTTATTTGTACTTTTGATGGCAGACAAAGAATTCTCCGTGTCCTCATTGCTTAGGCTTTAAAAAGTTAACTGAAATTGGTCTTAATCCATTGCTCTCTTAAATCTGCTGTGTTTATTAACCATTATTTTTTGTGGATTAATTTTACTTTGCTCTTCTTGTTAGCCACACTAATAGTATTTATACTTATTTAGACTGAAAAATAATATTGACCTATCCTACAAAGAGTTTTGTTGGAAGGTTTACTGAGATCACAGATGTAAAAAGACTTTGAAACCGAGCTGTTAATGATTTTGACATAATGTTCCCAGTCCAACAAAGTATAATTTCTTGGCAGGGGAACATGCTTAAATTGTTCCTCTTCCTGTAGCAAAATCAGCTAAGGAATAGTTTTAAAAAATTTCAGAATTAGTGATAAAAATCCCTCATACTTTTTCAGAAAGAATTAAAGTGGGGCTCCAACTTCTTCCTTGCTTAGGTGCTCACCATACATAAGGAGTAAACTTACTTTTCTGTGTCCAGAGATCCATTTTCCTTGTTTTCCATGTCAATAGCAAGCATAAGGAAGTCGGAAATGAACTTTCTGTCAGGAACTAGATCAATTAAAAAAACAGAAGAAGAAAGCTGCATTCACTTTCAAGTTATAACAAAAGAACAATGCAGTGTTACACTGGATGTCAAAATTTTCTTTAAAAATTATAAGATGTGGAGAATCCCCCCCCACTACATAGTTCTAAAAGCAAATGCAGTAGATTGTATTTGAGGCTTTGTCAAATCAAGTAGCTGCCTTGGCAACCAATGAGAAGCAAGAGCGCCATAGATCATCTGCTAAGGTGCACCTTGCTCTGAAGGGCACAGGGGAGACATCTGTCTCAGACTCAGTTCCCCACCTACGAAATGGCCAAAAAAAAAAAAAAAAAAAAGATAGCATTGCACAGATGCATGAAATGCTGTTTGTAAAGTATTCTGCAGTGGAATTTCTGTAAGAGTAAAAATGGTAATAGAGCAGGCATTCAGAAGCAGTCTATCTCTATATTTATATGACCTATATCTTGCCAGTCACTGAAAGAGCCAACAGGCATTTAATCCTTCTACCTGCATTTAAAAATGCGTAACACTTTGCTTGCTTTGCTGGAGGCACACATAAAGTACAAATAAGCTAAATCTTGAAGATCACAGTGCTGCCAAAAAATGACGGGACGGGATGGGAAAGGTGTCCAGATACAGAGTTCAATACAAGAAGGAGGTTTCTGGAAGCCCAACCAACACAGATGCCATTGTCCACCCCTGCATGGAGAATGGATATTTCCTTATCACAGGAGGTCAGTTTGTCAGGTCCAGATAGAAGGTTACACTGGTAATTTGCTTCCTGGGGTACTGCAATGCACCTGAAGATGGCCTGGACACTTATTTATTATTTATTTAAAACTTTTGTATGGCATCCCTTATGCATGGCATCTCAGGACAGCTTACAATCATTAAAACAACTTGCTGCAGAACAGAGCAGCCGGGCTGCTTAGTAGGACTAGTCCTTCCAATATACTATTCTAATGTTTGCACTGGCTGCCAGTCAGTCTTTGGACGTGATTCAAGCAGTTGGTGCTGACATTTAAATCTCTTAAGTAGTTCAGAACTAGTCCACCTGAAGGAGCACCTTCGCCTGTAGCTTCCTGCCTGACTGCTGAGATCAACTCCAGAGGTTCTTCTCTGGGTATGCTGAGGCAGGGGGCTACTAGGGAAAAGCCCTTTTGTCCAACAGGAATCACTGTTGCATTGCTCATAATACACTTAGTGTTGTTTTTTATTTTAAATATTGTCAACATTTTAATACTTCATTATTGCATTCATTGTTTTGGTTACTGCATTTTAATTACTGTAAATTGCCTTAAGGTGGCTGCCATTTGGGTGATATGTACATTTGATACACAAACATACAAACAAAACAAATGAGAATATTAAACAGGTTGTTTTTCTTAGGCTCATCCAGTCTGTGAGACAATTTCACATGTATCATGTAGATTCTTTTCTCTGTCATGTTTCTAGAAGAGCAGCATAAATAACTTGTATCATTTACCGTATCATTTACCATATCCTTTACCAAGTACAATTTTACAGAATGACATATCACTGAATCTAATACAGTGGTACCTCGGTTCATGAGCACCTCAGTTCACGACCAAATCGGGTCGCGAACAGAAATTTTGGCAACATTTTGCCTCCCTTCGCGAACTCCGCATTGGGTGACAACTACGATCATGGCCATGTCCCGGCACGAACATGATTGCGATCATGGCCATCTTCCCCACACGAACTCTCCAAACAATAACCTTCTCCCCACCCACCATGAGGGTGAGCCATGAGGGTGCACTCACCTCGGTCGAGGCCTTCCGGGCTCCTCGCTGCCACCCCGCTTCCAAGCCGGAGGAAGGACCCCTCACAGGTGCTCGCCTGGCTCTGGGAGGCGGAGCAGAAGGCCAGAGAAGCAAGCACGGGGTGGCTCCCCCGGCTGGGAGAGGGCTGCAAGGAGGGAGGTAAGGGCTGCTTTCTGTGGGCCAAGGCAAGGGGAGGCGAGGGACGGGGCCACGGCCTGCTGAGCAGGGCGCCTCCCGCCTCTCCCCACCGCAGGGGGAAGATGCATGGCGGCCACTTGGCAGCGGCAGCTTGCCCTGAGAAGGCCGTGGCAGAAGCACGGGAGCCACGGCCCCGCTCCCACTCCACCTCGGCTCATCCATCCCCGGGCTCGGCAAGGTGGCCGTGGCTTGGACCGCAGCCCGAGGACATGGCTCATATTTTTGCGGTTAAAAAAATAATTATGTATGTATGTATGTAAAACTTTTGTATGCCATCCTTTACGTATAACATAAAGTTCTGGTTCATAAAGTTAACCTTATTTACACTGAAACTTATAGGGAAATTTGACTTGGTTCACAACCAAAATCAGCTTGCGACCACGTTCGTAGGGGTCAGAGTGGATTAACCTTATTTACATTGAACCTTATGGGGAAATTTGTCTTAGCTCGTGACCAATTCGGATCGCGACAAGAATCATGGAACGAATTAAGTTTGTGAACCAAGGTACCACTGTATCTGTACACTCACCTAGAATAATCTACACTGAATGCAGTAGAGCTTACTTCTCTGGAGGTCTACATAGGATCACACCGTAAAACCTCTAACAATGCAGTGTTTTAATTTTTTCAGTATTTGAGTTTTAAAACAAAAATAATTGAGGAATTTTAAACTTTTGCTGTTTAATTAAGAGGTGATAAATCATCAAAACAATTCAATATAAACTAAACTGTGCTTTCTTTTTGTCTACACACTCAAGAAGCATTCTCAAATGTTGAACCCCATGGCTCATTTGAGGATGTTGAAAATGACTGAAGCTCACCAGTCACCAAATAGTGTTGCCGGGTGGAGTTTTGCAGAACCAGCTGGCAAGTAGTGATAATATTTTATTTTGATTTCTAAACCCTATTTGGATATGGATAAGGTCTTTGCCACAGTCATTTCCTTGTAGCAGCAAGTTTCATAATCCAGCTTTCTTGAATTGAGACATTGGCTCTGGAGGCAGCATGCCTCCCCATTTCAGGCAGATTTTGTTGATCCAGAAGCAAAAAGTAGAGAAAAAAATTATTTTATATTGTTTTCCTCCCCTCCTAGCCCAAAAAGCTTCTCTCAGAGTATTCTTATTTGTCTCTTGCTATTTCTTTTCCCCTTCTCCTCACAAATGTAGCATGTGCCCAGTTTGTTTCATCACCCCCCCCCCGCTGCTTTTTCGTCCTCTAACAGCTCCCCTCGCTTATCTCATGCCTTGCTATTTCCAAAAGTTATTAACAATACCAGCCTGGCTCCCTAACCAGCTCCTGCTGCCACACCTACCCCTGCAGTGTGCCTGGTGAAGCCACAGCATAGGGGACTCGAACGAAGAGGCGCTGAGCAGACTACAGCAGCGAGGCTTGCCTGAAAGTGTGCTGAGAGCTACTGGTGGATCCCAGGTTATAGTGTGAGAAACACTGTGCTGGATAACTCATTGGCAGTCACTCAAACATCAATTTATCACTTTAAATAACAGCTTTACAAAAATTCTGATGATGTGAAATATATTGCTGCTTTAAAACCAGGGTTAAAGCTATCTCATTTTGGTTAAAGGTCCACAAAGCCAGGAAATTAGATGCTAATGATGTTATATCACAAATTGTGCTTCCTTACAAGCAATATAGTCCAACACACGGAGGGATTCCTCTAGTGATACAGTAAAATGGAGGTGCTTTATAAGGCAATAGAGGACCAGCGGGTCATGGTTCTGCTCCATGGCACTCCATCCTCCCCTATTTGGATTTGGGCCTGCAAGAGCAAGGCAAAGTGTGGGTGCATGGAGGGGAAGTTGTACACAAGCACAATTGGTGACATCACACATCGTCATCATCAGTGCTCAACAGGCTCATCTGTTAAGGAATGAACCTGTTTGCAATTGGCGTTGGGGAGCTTAAGTCAGCTTGAGGTAGCCTTAAATGCAGGTCATACACTTGCAGTTAAAACAAACAGAAAAACAAAAGCACAGCATTTCCCAGGTTTTTCTTAAAATAAATGTATTATTATAATATTGTGAAGAACATAAATTAAACAATAAGTTACAGACAAGTTATTGACTGGATAGATGTGTCCCTGCATGTTCAGAAATGCTTATGGCAGCCCTCTCCCGCATTGCACATGCTAAACATTTCCAGAGAGGAAGCCCTCCAGTTGCTGTCTCTGTGTGCAGGACAACAGGAGCTGTGACGAACAGAAGTGGAGCTAGTGGATTCCTTTCATGAACAATGTATATATCAGCAGAATAGTTGCACAGGGCTAGATTCTCACAACCATCTTAATAAGTGTACCTAGAGTAAGAATGCATGTTCAGTGCAATTTGTTGTTGTTGTTTAGCAAAGTCGTGTCCGATCCATTGCGACCCAATGGACAACATTCCTCCATGCTCTCCTGTCCTCCACCATCTCCTGGAGTCCACCTAAGCTCATACCGACTGCTTCAGTGACTCCATCTAGCCACCTCATCCTCTGCTGTCCCCTTCTTCTTTTGCCATCTATTGTTCCCAGCATTAGGGTCTTCTCCAGGGAGTCCTTCCTTCTCATTAGGTGGCCAAAGTATTTGAGTTTCATCTTCACTATCTGGCCTTCTAAAGAGCATTCAGGGTTGATCACCTCTAGGACTGACCGGTTTGATCACCTTGCGGTCCAGGGGACTCGCAGGAGTCTCCTCCAGCACCACAATTCAAAGGCCTCAATTTTTTGGTGCTCAGCCTTCCTTATGGTCCAGCTTTCATAGCCATACATTGCAACTGGGAAAACCATAGCCTTGACTATATGAACTTTTGTCGACAGGGTGAAGTCTCTGCTTTTTAGTATGCTGTCTAGATTTGCCATAGCTTTCCCCCTAAGGAGCAAGCGTCTTTTAATTTCTTGGCTGCAGTCCCCGTCTGTGGTGATCTTGGAGCCCAGGAAATAAAATCTGTCACTACTTCCATTTCTTCACCATCTATTTGCCAGGAAGTGAGAGGACCAGATGCCATGATCTTAGTTTCCTTAATATT